ACAGTCTGAACAAGTCCAGTATGCTCAAACACTCGGTCACAATGACTTGTGACTTTGTGCTAACACAGCAATGGATGGCTCCCAAATAGTTCTGTCTATCCAATTTTTTCATTCACAAGGCTTGTGTGTGGGTGGCAACTAGTTTAAGAGATAGAAAACTGAATTCCAAACCTTGGAGAAAGCAACAGGAAACCACTCCAGTACCGCTCCCAAGAATGTACGACAATGCAAAGATAATGATATCAATGGAGAATGATGATCAGTTACATCATGAAGAGACATAGCATGTAATTAAAACAAGGGGTTAGATAGCAAGGAAGACAGGGTTCTCTAACCTTGGTTGGCTACCAGTCTAAGAGAAGGAAAAACTATGAATTCAAAACCAAAGAGAAATAATGCCAAGGGAAGATTTTGTTTCTTAAAAGTTACAAAATAAAGTAAGAAATAATTCTAGATTAAGAATCTCCAGTCAGTTAAGTGCCACATATGTGATGCATGTGTGGGTGATAATGTCACATTTGATTCATGACTGATTAGGCAAAAATTTTTCCTGCAGTAGGTTGCCATTTCTTTCTGCAGTAGACTGATTAACACCCACAGCTATAGGACCCAATCTATTCTGTGATTGAAATCCTAGCTGGGAGAGAAGAGATGGATTTTTTCTCATACTTTAGATGAAGCAGTCAATTTCTTTCATCTTCATTTCAAATGCTTTATTTCAACTAGTAATATTAGGAGTAATATTATCTAGAATTTTATTATTATTATTAGATGAAGCCTTGTCAATTCTTATTCATTTTTCACTAGCATTTCTTTCATCTTTATTACAGTTGGTTTATTTCCACTAGTAGTATTAGTAGTAATATTATCTGGAATTTTATTATTATTATTAAATGAAGCCTTGTCAATTCTTATTCATTTTTCACTAGTATTTCTTTCATCTTCATTTCAATGGCTTTATTTCCACTGGTAGTATTAGTAGTAATATTATCTGGAATTTTATTATTATTATTAAATGAAGCCTTGTCAATTTTTATTCATTTTCACTAGTATTTCATTTTTTCACTTTAGGTATATTAGTTATTATCTTTTTATTTTATTATTAAATGAAGCCTTTATTTTTCACTAGTATTTCTTTCATCTTCATTTCAATTACTTTATTTAGTTGGTGGGAGATTCAAAGGTATTTGCACATAAGTGAATCTAACGAATCTAGCTAGAATTCATATTTGGCTCTCTGATTTCTCACTGCAATCTATTACACCACCCATGCATAATTTAGAACACAATGGACACTGAAAGAAGGTCAGAGGGTACATGCCTGTGTCCTTGTAGGAAAAAAATAAAATAAAATGAGGAAAATGCCAGAAAAAAAAAAAAAAAAAAAAAAAACAGATGAATATTGTAAAATGATCAGTTATACTCTGACAGTAAGTACAAGCAAAAAATGCACTGTCGGACATTGCTTAACTTCAGAGATTGTATGGGAAGTGGTGTTTCAATATGATATGACCATAAGGTGGAAGGATGAAAGATGATGATTGGCCTTTGACTCAAAAAAGTCAAGACTGAAGCTTTCCAAGAAGCGACCACATAGAAGTTTTTTCTTCCAAAATTGTCACTTTGTGAAATTAACGAAGTGGAAGTTATTTAAAAAAAAAATGCTGAGTGGAACTGTCTTTTTACATTTCAAACATGGAGAAAATAAGGATGATTTGATTCTGTGAAAGTAGTGAAGTGAGTCTTAGCAGTAAAGGACAGAACTGGTAGAATTAGAGATTAAAGCTTATCTGAACATTTGCCGTCAGCATTAAACAAGTGAAATGATTGCAACATTGCGTCAACAATTCTGATCTCTATCCAGGATGGAAAGTGAGGACTGAGCAGCTCCAGTTCCAGATATGGCAACAATACTCCACTTTTGATCTAGCCTGACTCTTGTAAAGATGAAACATAGCAGAAGGAGTTAGATTCTTCCTGGAGTGATAGAATGAGCCAACCATTTTTACAGCTTCTTTGACAATGGATCATACGAGTGTCTCTTAAGGTCTAGAGTAAACTTGAAACCAAAGAGACATTCAAAGCATGGAGCCTCATTCAGAGTGAAACCATTCATCATAACTGGAAAAAAAAAGGCAATGAAGAAACAATACGAGTTTGGTTTTTGTGGTATTGAAAGTTACAAGCCAGTTATTGCCTGACCGGACTGTTAGAACAAAGTAAGAGGAAAGATCAACTGCAAGGCACTGATTTTTTTTTTTTTTTGTGCATAAGGATAGATGCCATGATAATGACTGGTTCCAAAGTGTCATTCAAATGAGTCAATTGATCACTGTAACTTTGTGCAATACAAGTTTATCTGGGTTCCAGGAATTCATTTAAAACAACCCTTGCCCAAGCTTTCCACTGACTGGGAATGATTATGCTATGTTACATTTCAATTTTTGATCTCAAATCTGGGAAATGGTCTGCTGCATGCTCACAAGATAACCAGAGGAAAAACAAACAGAAAATATGTTTCCTATATTATAAAATAGACATTTTATTCAGAGTGCTTGTCTGGGTGGGTATGTAGGTGACACTGGAAAACTTCTGTTATGCTGATTTCATAGATCAGCTCTTCCTCCTATCAACTTCTTGTCCATCTATATACCCTGATGTGTGGCTGGCAATAAAATCAGAACACAATGGACAAGTTCATCTCCAACCAAGCGCAAAACAGAACTGATGACTTAATATAGACCAGCACCTGGCTACACCATATTTCTGGTATTGTTGTCACTCGATCTCCAAAAACCCCTTATCTATCCCTTTGCTTCCCCATTCCCCTTTAGTCAAAGTGGATGTTGCTTAGAAGCCTAGACTTCAAATAGGACCACCTACTGGCTATTAAAAACTTGTGATCAAGATAAAACTACATCTTGCTTTTCTCTGTGGGTGTCCATAGTATCACTCTCAATCTTCTTTCAAATCCTCCTACAATTTATCAGTTTTCCAATTCTGATGTCTACCTAAATGCTGTCCTTGAACTCAAAATTCTCCTTTTGCATTATTTCCAGGAACTCTTGCCTAGGTGTCTTTATTTTCTCCAGATGAAACATGAAAACAGTTGTTAAAGACTGTAATCCTTTGTGTACAGATTGCTAGTGAGTATAAGTCCTGAAAAGATTTATTTTCAGTCCTGAATCATACACGACTTTAAAGGACAGAAACATTATGAAAGATTCATATATATTGAATCCATTGCTCGGACAGCTGCTAAGAAAGTTGGTTCACTGTGTCACACAAGACAATTTTTCTTTCCAGAATCTATCTTACATATTTATAAGTCTGCCATTCATCCATGCTTAGAATACTGCTGCCACATATTGTCCGGTGCCCTTGCTATTTACCTTGAGCTCCTTAATAAAATCCAAGAAGAATCAGCAATATTATTGGTCCTGATCTGGCAGCTTGGCTTTAGTCACATTCTCACCACCACAAAGTTGCCTCCTTATGCATTTCATTTTCTATAAATATTTTCATGGTAATTGTTTGGATGAGCTCTTCACTATGGTACCCAGACTTTGAATTTATGTGCACGTACTAGACTGGCGTTGAGATCTCACCAATTTACAGTTGAGCTGGCAAGATGTAGCTGTAAGTTCTATGCTAACTATTTCTTTACTTGCACTTCTTACTTGTGGAACTCCCTTCCAGCTCCATGCTTTTCAGCCAACTTTAATTGCCAAAAATTTAAATGCACTGCCAATCGCTATCTGCTGTCCTCCTGATTACTCTTTTCCCTTCCTGCTCATTAGTAATGTTTCTGTTCCTAATTCTTCAACACCCTGTAACCCTTTGTGTCTTTACTGCCTTGCTTGGGATGAAATCAATTAAAAAACAATTTCCTTGTTGCTATATGTTTATTTGTTTAATATCTTAGTAGATGTTAAACAAATAAACACTGGTAAACAAAGAAATCCAATTTGACCCAATTTTGTCCATTTTGAGTCATGAAAAAAATGGCATTAAGTTCAAAATTAAAGTATAAGACATAGCAGTCTTTTGGATATGATTTTAAGCTAAAAAAACAAACTTGTATCTTATGCACAGAGGAATACGCTATGCATTTTCATCCAACTTCCCTCACAAACACTTCTTAAAAAGTTTATACACTCTGGAAATAAAGAGTAAACTTTAAAAACACTTCTAAGATTTTCCTAACATTGTAAGCAATGGGAACTTCTGCATCAACCCAGTGCATTTTAGTAATGTTCCTACATTAGTTTTAAAATATAAGCAAGAAGCTTCTAAAAATGTTTTTGTGTGAATTCAAATTCTAGACTAGCTAGGAAGTGTGGGTGGTTTAATAGATAGTGGCTCAGAATGAGAAATCAGAGAGTTGAGTTCAAATTCCAGTTGGGTTTGTTACATTTACTTATGTGCAAATACCCTTGAAGAAGGTATGAATCCATTTCCACCTAAAGCTATGAGTTAAATAGTAGGATTTGCATCTGTAAAAATCCTAGTTATTCTATAAAAAAAGTTAATGTAAAATTCACTCACTAGAAAATAATTATTCTTTTAATTTTAAATAAGTTTCTGCTTTAAATAACCTACACAGGGTTAGTAAACCATAAAAAATACAAAACAATCAATCCAGCCCAGCCTCTTGTGCTTAGTCTTGCATAAATACCCTTGAGAAAGGTATGAATCCATTTTCCGCCTTCCAACTATGGATGAAATAGCAGGGTAGACTGGGGCTCTCTAGCCTTAGGCAGCAATCTATCTAAGTGAAAGTAAACTCTGAATTCTAAACTGTGGAGAAGGAAACCACTTGAATATCTTTCCCAAAAATATCTGGCAATTCTCAGATAATAAAGAAACACAATCTGTGGAAAGCCTTGATCGCTTATGTATGTAAGGAATATGGTATTTAAAAATTCTGAATAATCAGAATTGGAAAAGAGAAAAAAAAAAAAAAGTCATGACTATATATGCAATGGTAGGACACTTACTTCTGAAACCACCCTTTGAACTGTCGGTTCCAAGTCGGCGCCGGAAGTCTTTTGCCCAATCAGCATCAGATTCCAAACAGTACTTCAACTTGACAATGCGGCAATACTCACTCCTACAAAAAATGAAAAGATCATATTGACGGGAACTTGTAAAATTACATATAGTAACGGACATTGGGGAGATCACCCAATAATCTGAGGCAACAAAAACAGGTTTTGACTTTTTTTTTTTTTTTTAAAATTAAGTGCAAAAACTGATATCTCTTCTACTCAATTGGCATTAACATAAAAAAAAATCCTCTCTCTACATATATACATACAAATATGTTTATGCAAATAGCATCACTTTGGTATGTATAAACAAATAAACTTATATTTTTAACAAGGACCAAAAAGAAACAAGATCCTGATCACTATCATCGTAATCACTGCCAAAAATCATGAAACCATTTCTAGACTTTTGATGTTGTTAGAGAAAATTCAAATTTTTCAGATGTTTCTTTATTTGTTTATCTTAATACTTATTTAATATCTAACTATTAAGTAATGCAAAATTTATAGCGTAATTGAAAGAAAAAAAAGATTAGGTAACTGGAATTTTTTTCATTTTTTTTTTTTTATATGCAGCTGTTTAGAATAAACATTTTAAAATAGCTTTTTACCAAATGTTTAAAAGTTTCCTAAGAAGTATAAATTTTTAGTATGGTCATTAAAATGGACATATTTTATCAAAGTACGAGGAAAACAAAATAAAAGGTATAATTACAGCAAATGTCAATTTGGAATAAAAAATGAATGAAAATTTGTCTTTTCTTTTTTTCCAAATTATTGTTCACACAGTAATTGTAACTTTTTTCTTTCATTTATTTTGACTGATAGATTCTTTTTTATAGCATATCATACAATAGCAGGTTATTTAAAAGAAAATATTTTTAGATTGTAAGAATCTTTCATTCATTTTTAGGGAGATAATAATGATTTAGTGATACAAGTTTTACTAATTAATCCATAGTTGGGGGAGAATAGGTGGATTGATAGGTCTTCTAGGCGAATTTGCACATAATTGAATATAACGAACCCAACAGGAATTGGAACTCAATTCTTCGATTAACAATTCTGAACCATTATCCTTGACATCCACCAAAGCTTACAGCACTTGGTATTCCCAAGTGGTCACCCATCTAGGTACTGACCAGGCTTGACATTGCTTAACTTTGGTGATCATACAGGAACCAGTGTTGTGACATGATGTAGCTGTAAGCCACTTCATTCATTTTCCTCTCACTTCAATTAAATGTCCGTTTTAATGGCCATAATAAAATTTTATTTTCTTATTTCTATATGTTCTGACTTATCTTAAAATTCAGCTCCCACAAGCATTTTATAATTGTACAGATATTCTCTGTGAATGATATTTGGTTAAAAATCTATTTGACTATATTTCCCAGTCCAAAGATAAACTTTTGTATTCCGATAATTTAAGAGAAAATATTTCAAATGTAGACGTTCATTGGGACCCCAGCATCCAATTTCATTTATTCATCAGTAAAACTTTTGTGTTAAAAACTTTTATTAAAATGAAACTACTTTTCAAGATATATATATAAATATATCAAAGGAGTAAAAAAATTTTTATTTTGAAAATAAGAAAGTTAATCAATGTATGTATCTTCAAAACTGGTATCATCAGAAACTGAGAGGGGAGGGAAGTTTTAATTTTAAAATATTTAATTCACTGACTTCTTGTTTTTTATTTCAATTATTATTATTTTTTTTTTTTTGAAGACAAAAATTTTAGGCTTTTTCTTTGCTAGCAAAATGTCAGAAATTTTTATTTTAATTTAAACTGCACTTTTAAGGTAGCTTCTGCAAAGAGCAAATTGGGCATCCACCTCAAAATTAATGAGACATCTGGTCCAGCTCAGAAAACAGCAATTATAATTTTGAAGAAATATCTTTGAATTCTTCAATTCACTCCATGGAACTTCAAAATCTCACTTTAACTCTGATTTAGGCTAAACTCAATATAAATTAAAAAAACTTAAAATCACTAATTTTTTTTTAAAAGTTATTTTAAAATTTGAATTTTAACTGTTTCCTCCTCATCCAGACACAAATGCCAATGCTGGATGTTCAAGCACTAAACGAAGGACAGATTTTTTCAATGCCAGGATCATCCTGATTCCAAAAAGGTATGTCTATGTAGAGCAAGTGTGGCTTGAGTTAGAGGGTTTTCAGACAGAGAGACAGAATTTGTCATTTATTTATTTAGATTGAATTTTAATTACATTTATAAAATAGGGTATTTGTTTTTTAGTGGTTATTTTTGGACATTACTAGTATAGTATAAGAGTGTTAAAAAAATAATTGTTTTACCAGAATGGATGTTAAAACAAATGTAAGTTGAATTTATTTAAAAATTCTTTATTTAATTTATTTATTTATAAAAATTCTTTATTAAAGACTGCAGCCCAATGAAAAGGAAAATTTTCAATTCTATCTTTAAAGAAAACCTGGGAAACCCATAATTACTTTCCAATTTGCTATAATAGATTTATTATTTTTACCATCTGTAGAAATCTTGGAATCTAATTACTATGAATAATGAATTCCTACTGCACATAACTCACAAATTTTAGGATCTAAATAACATAATGCCATGAACACAATAACAGTCCCATCTTGATATTCACAAGTAATTTTGAATACAAGACTTTAATCAATGTCTTCAGCTGAAGAAAAATTATTTTCTTTGTAAGAACTAAATGACTGATTTATTTTATTAATTTTTCGTACTTTTATTTCTCACATCCTAATTTGAGCTGCTTTTTGGCAAAGTCCTGATTGTTATTCAGTCAATTATAGGAGAAAGAAGGAAAAGGTCTTTCGAAAGACTTGAATGCATCCCTTATTCTCAGAAAGCCTGTCTCTCCAGGACATGGGGCAGCTGCATTATCAATTAAGCTACAGAAACCAACTGATTTCAGTAATTCAAATCTAGTAATGTAGCTTTTCTTTGATTACCCGATACATTGCTATCTTGAACTTACATCTCTTATTTTATAAAGAGCCTACCTGTCCAGGGTACAGGGCAGCTGTCTCACCAATTAGGTTAGAAAAACCTAATTGATTTCAGTAATTAAAATCTAATTATTTAGATTCCCTCTAAATACCTAATACACAGCTATTTTTGTTTACAGGCATTTGTAGTAATATTATTTAAAACTTCTTAGAAGCAATGTCACTTTTAATAATTTTTTTTCTACAAAGAAAAATGATGCTATGATCCATATTGGTGTTAAAGTGGCAGAAAATCATCAGCTTAACTTGTTTTCAGTTACAAGATTACAGGGAAATTCTATAAAGAAGTGAATATTATGTCTATAAAGTAAGTTAAGAAAAATTTACAAATATGGATAATACTGCTGAATCTTTTTATTACCCGTTTTATAAAAAAAAAAAAAAAGAAAAGAAAAGTGAAGAGAAACAGTATTGAATTGGTGCATAATTATCAGGCAGTTTTTAAACAATATTTACTATAAAAACGCCTGATAATTATGCACCAACCTAATAGTATTCATTTCATCATTCTTTCAAACAGGAAAGAAAAAAAAAACCCTGAAAACAACAGGCATTCAAGTCAAATATCTTTTACCATTCATTGATTTTGACAGCATATAAATAACAGATTTATAATTTTGGTTTCAGTTGGGTAAAAATGAATAAAAATTAATTTGTAACCAGATCACAGCATTGGGAAGGATATAATCCATAGCACCATATATTCATGAAGCCATGTGTATTACCCTTCAATGATAAATAACAAAAGAGAAGGTTTCAAACAAGAAAGGAAATCTGCCTCGATAAATGTTCAGTTGAACAGTAAAAGTGAAATTAGCCGTTTCCTTATAAGGAAACATTCGGCATTCATTGACTGAACAGTTAGCATTACTGTTAGTTGAAGTCGTCATAAAATCTTTTTCTTAAAAGTTTTTCAGGAAAGTAGGCTTATCAAGCCCACTTTTATTGCTCTTTCAAAATACTGACAGGAGTTTCCTTCCAAACCTTTTGTTTAAGGTAGCGTGGAAAGCTAACATCTTGATTATATCGTCATTTTCCATCCTAGTTATATGGGCTATTCCGTTGTTGCTGTTGGATGTCTTCAAGTGATGTGGTTTTTGTTATTTGGTAAGGCTCTTTGTGATTCTGTAGTGCCAATCTATAAGATCTGATGAAGGATTTTAATAAGGACAAATAGAAACTGTGTGATAATGTGTCCCCAACCCTGTAACCCAAATAAAAATTTAGTTTTATTAATATCGGAAGATTCAATGAGATGCACTCCAGAATTTCTGTTAATAGCTTTTTTTTTTTTTAAAACTTTTAAACTAGCTTGATGCAACCGTCAGTTTTATTCTAATAAATTTCTTTTCTCACACTTCTCACCTGTGGAAATTCCTTCTGATTTTTTGAATCCCTGCCAACTACAATCTTCAAAATTTTAATGCAATGCCAATCGTAATTTTGTCTTCCTGAACCTTGTTCTTTTATTGTCCTTTCTCCTCACTAAAGTCTTTTCATTCTCTTTCACTCCCAGTAACCCCTTGTGTCCTAGTGGCATTATCGCCTTGCTTGGGGTGAAATGATTTATAAAAAACAAAAAAGAGATCTCTCCTATATTTCTAGTTTGATTACCATTTTCTTTCTTTATTTTTGAGTTTCCAGTATGCTCAGTTTATATTATAATTAAAGTTTGGTGTCTTATTTCCTCCGAAAGACACTAATTCCTTTATCCTGAATAAAATAACACAATCTATTCTAGAAATTAAACTGTACACAGCAATCTTAAAAGCATCTCTTGGCAATGTTCAACCTTTCATGTCTGCAAAAAAAAAAAAAAAAAAAAAGAAGGAAAACAGGGTGTGCCAAAAGGACAGTTATTTCATTGATGCCACTATTACTGTATACACTTTTGACTCCCTCAACAAGGTTTATTTTTTTTAAAAGTGATGATTAGAATTTTAATAAAATCCAAATATATGAAAGTGGATTTATACATTTTCTTTATTCTTGAGAAATGGCAGCAAAGATGTTAAACCCTATTTATTAGTTTATTTACAAGAATAATTTCCCTTGTTAGAGAAAAGCACATCTTCACCCAGATTATTTTTCTTGAAAGCCCATTTGATTGTTCTATTTATTAATTAGATTGCATATTTAGTAGAATAAGCTTATATTTACAGGATTATAAAAATATGTGAACAAAACTATAAGGGAATATTTATTTACTATTTTATAAAGAAACAAATATAAAAATGATTTTTTTATTCATAAATTTATAAAAAAAAACTGAAGATGAGAATAAGAAAATTTAAACAACTACATAATGACAATTAATTATAAATTTTGAAAAAAAAAAAAAAATGCATTTTACAGTCATTTCTTTGATTTGATCTCAGCACATAAATTCACTAAAATAGATTGAGAGGATCTCTTCCTCTGAACAAAATGTTCTTTTAATTTATGTTTACATCACAATGTTTATTCAAATTTTCTTGTTCTATAGTTATTTATAAAATGGTAAATAATATTGCATTGTAGTTGGTTTATATATTTTGATAATTTTGTCATTTTTTAAAGAAATTTTTGAATAAAAAGATTTCATTTCTAATTTATTTCTTTGTAAAACAGTAAATAAATCCTTATAAAAATAAATAATAAATATTGCATTGTATTTGGTTCACATTTTTATAATCTTGTAGAAAAACATTACTGAAGGAATCGAAAGTGCATACAGTAATAGTGGTGTCAAGGGAATAACCATTCTTTTGAGACACATTTTTTGGGTTTTTTTTTTTTTTGCAGGAATGAATGTTAAAACATTACCTATTACTCTTTATTTTCTTTCGTATGTTACCCATGGCCATAAATTTTTTAAAGAGAAATCTGCAAACTGTGCTTATAGTGGGATTTGAATTTGAAATAATTTTACTTTTGTTTTTGGCATCAATAATTAATGCTTATAAAACTTCCTAGTATTTATTCCATCCACTGTTCCTTCTTAGCTATTAATAAACCACTCAATTTTATCATGTTAACACACACTTTCGTATTATTCTATTTTTAAATTGTTTATATAAAGTAAGTAAAATATTGAACGTTTTTATAAACTTGTCGTTCTTATTGCATTTGATGTTGGTAAAAAGAGGATTCTAATCAGTTTTATAGTTGCCTCATGGATGGTAGGAAGACGGTATTGGAAATGATTTGCGCTTGCCTAAATCAGTTTAAAATGATGAGAATGAATTGGATGAGAGGAATAAAGAGGATAACAATGTAAGAATTATTTACAACACATCACAAAATCAATTCCTTCAAGTTTTTGTGTTTAGTTCTTCTTTTTGTCGAAGTCTTAATCTCAGTAGTGATATTCTTGTAAATTTGATGGGGGTGGGGGAAGTCATTTTTGTTATATTCTTCAAGGAAAATTCAATTTTGTACATTTATTATCAAACTGCGACCAGAAAAAAGAAATTAGGAAAAAAAAAAAAAAAAAAAATATATCATGAACAATATTTTATATACATTTTCCACTCATTTTATTTACATGTTCTTATGATCTATTTATATAATTTTGTATTTCAAAAATATAAATTGTCACTGTTACTGAATGTTATATTACAAGTATAATATAATTTCTATTCATTTTATTTACATTTGATGCCCTATGATCCAGTTGGTTCTAAATGCATAAAAATCAAACTGGAAACAAACAAACCATCTAAAATATTTATTTCTGAATATAAATGCTGCTTATTACAAGTTCATTGTTGGATGGGGGAATGTTTTCCTGAATTGTTCAATTTTTCAGCTTAACGTTTAAAACAAAAATGCATCTTCTATGCACAATCTTGTTTCACAAATGATTAATTTACTATGAAAAGGAAAAAAATTTTTTACAATTCTGGAGAAAATTTAAAATATATCAAACAGAAATTACAATTCAATTTCTTAAAATAAATTATTTATAATTCCTTCACTTTTCACAATTGTTTTCCAAAGTAAATAGATTGCAGTCTGATAATAAATGTTTATGACAAAGTGGAAAAAAAAATTTTGTGTGATGTGTTTCGACCCTTAGGATTTCATCAGACTAAAGTGATGTTTATGTTGATGTGATTACACATATGCATGAAGGAGAGGGGACACTGAAATTTTAAATTAATTTTTTTTTAATATGTTTTGTGTATACGGCATTGCTGATTTCATTTTGATTCTTTTTCTTTCTATTTTTATCAATTTTGTTATTAAATACCCAACATTGTGATAATAGAAAATCTGCCAAGAAGGGTGAAATATTGTAAGAACCTTGACACAAATTTACCATGGATTATCTAGCAATTAAAGCACTTTCTATACACTTTCATCTTATTAAAATGCTCTTTTAAATAAAGTAGCATTTTTTTAAATTAAAATTATGGTCAGACTTATTATAGTGAGTAACTAATGCATTGATTGGCTTTTGTTTAGCAGCAAATCAACACCTCTATGGGTTATTTAATGCCAGAATCTAAATATTTTGTATGCAATTTTTTTTTTTTTTTTTTTTTTGCAGATAATAATGGTGTTAGTGATACAAGTCTTACTAATTAACTCATAGCTGGGGGAAAAAGAAGAGATGGATTCATAACATTTCCAAGGGTATTTGCATATAACAAACCCAACTGGAATTGGAACTCAGCTCTCTGATTAACAATTCCAAGCCATTATACATTACACCACCTGCACATCCAAGCCTACAGCACCTAATTCGTTGAGTGTGTTGTTTTGCAAAAGATCTCTTTTGTGTTCATATAATATTCAGGTAATGGCTTGGAATTGTTAATTCTGAACCATTACCCATGACCCTACCTACACATCCAAGCTTACAGCACTTGATATTCCCAAGTGGTCACTCATCTAGGTACTGACCATGCTCAACATGGCTTAACTTTGGTAATCATACAGGAACTGGTGATGTGGTCATAGGTCCTAATGCATTGTGTGTGTTGTTTTGTAAAAGGGCCCTTTGTGTTCATATAAAATTTTATTGAAATTTCTTGAGGTTACTCCTATGTATTCCTTGTGGCAATTATTACAGGTGATAGAATAAATTCCGCCTTAAAAAAATAAAATAAATGAAAAAATTTCAGGATCCCCTATCCTTCATGCACATGTGTAATCACATCAACATAAGCATCACTTTAGTCTGATGATGTCCTAGTGGACAAAACACGTCACACAAAAACTTTTCCCACTATGTCATAGATTTTCCTAAAATTGTTCAGTTTTCCCAGTAAATGTTAAAAAAAAAAAAAAAAAAATTAACTTAAGTATAGATCAATATATAAAACTGTGCGCATGTATGTCTGTGTGTGTAAGTAATTTGCTGTCTATCAAGAAAAAGGGGGATTTGAAAAGAGAAATTTGTCAGTGATGAGCAGATGACATGCGCAAATAACCTCTTACATAGGTTTTTGCAATTACCTCCTCCTGCAATATCTATGTGCTTGTGGTTTAAACAAAACATTATGGCTACATCTACAGCATCTGAAATGACAGAAATGGTCGACGGATTAACATACATCACAGTACAGCCTTATCCATACCATGACTGGTTCTCAAACACTGCTCAGGGTTTACGAACTTAATTGCTTTCCAGAATTTTAAGGACAAACACAGTTTTTCTTTGTTGATTATAGATAGATACACACAGGTGTACAGATATAAGGTAAATTCATTTCTGTCTGAATTTCTAGGATCAGGAGTTATTGTTTTTTTTTATTATTTACAGTTGGACTAATATCCTCGTCTTTATTATTTTGAAAGTCTCAGATTCTTCAGGTGTCTGTCAATACTGGTAACTTTCATGGAATTTCAAACAGGGTCCTTTATTTAATCTATGAGAATAGAATGTTCTCATTTTGATATCCACATCTAGGAATATAATGTTTTTATTTTTTAGTACAACTCGGTAGGTTCTTGTTTTGTTTGCAGAGTCCAAGTCCGTACTACCCAGCGCAGGGATTGAATTTAAATTTACAAAACTAACACTAATCCTCAAGGCTTGTGGTTCTCAAAGTGCATGCCCCACATGGAGAAGGGGCAATTTGGTTTTTAAGGGAGGCAATAAGTTATTAACAGAGATTTTTTTTTCTAGTGAGTCTGAGTGCAAGTCAGTGCATATACAGAATGCATACATAAAAATATTTGTGTGTATGTATGTACATGCGTAATTATATATTGGGCACGTAGCAGAGTGGTTAGAACATTTGCTCTCTGACCACAAGAGCCAGGTTCGAATCTCACCATGGTCTATTTGTGACTTCCTGATGTTATTGTTCTGGAGAGGCTGATCCCAGCATGCTTGAAAACCATACCATGAGTTGACCAATCGATAGCTGTGAGAGTCAAAAGTCATTGTGACAGAGTATTTGAGTGTGCTGGCCTGGTTCAGATCGTTGATCACACTAGATAACATGTTCTGTCTCCCAGAAACTGTAACTAAAGTCTCTTCAGCATAGTTGCAGTATAAACCATTGAGCAGGCGTCTGCAATAGGGATTGGCTAGCTGCCCTAGTAGAAGGGTATCCTTGAATATGAATGGCCAGCTATTATTATTAATTATGTATATACTGTGAATATTATAAAATCAAATAATACTATTGCATATGTTCAGTCTCAAGTTCTTAAGGAAACATGTGAGAGTATATAAAGGTACAGTGAAACATTATCTCTAAGAGGAATTACATATCCATTTTATATATATATATATATATATATATATATATTACACCGGATGTCAGAGTAAACTGTACCACATTGTTATAAATATATATAGTGTATCACCATCATCACGACTATGAAATGGCTTTCATAATGAAATTAATGAATTGATTGATTTTTAACAATTTCTTAATAATGTCTTCCTTAGCACTTCAACTGTCATTTTCTTCTTTATCTCTTTCATGAAATCCATGTTCTTTGGAAGTTTGTTTAGACCAAATTAATGGCTTTTTAGGCTTCCTCTACGTGAATAGGAGTTCACTTTTTGAATTAGAATTATGGGGGGGCATAGCCAAAAAAAAAAAATGGTTGGGAACCACTGCTTTAGGTCAATGTTTTTCAACCTTTTTTTTTTCTAATGATGGCACACTTGAACCTATAGTTAAACTTCTGCGACAAACTTTAATTATGGTGATCAAAAAAAGAGTGCACTTTTTATGATTTACTGATTAACACAAAACAATTTATTGTAATTCTCCATAAAAAGATATTAATTAAAATTCTTTTAAAAAATTATATTTGTTTATTTTCCAGTTTATTATAATTTGACATTTAATGAGATATCCGAACTTGACGTTTTTTAGAATTTCTTCTTTGCAAGATCGAATTTTGAACAGACAAACTCTCAAATCTTCTTCCAAGGATTCTAGCCATGATCAATTTTCTTTTTAATTTTTTTTATTGCAGAAAAGCTTGTTTTTATTGTATTTAAAGGGGTTTTAATTTTAATATGTACACTTATTGTGCTTTGAACATCTTTGGAAAATAATTTAATTAATGGCTTTTAAAAATTTTTGTAGCACACCTATGATCCTCTCAGCACTCCGGTTAATAAAATAAAAAAAAAAAAAAAAAAAAAAAAAATCACAGCTCTAGGCTATTGTCCCATGAAGCTAGAACTTGGGTCCTAATGTCCTTAGTGCCTCCTCTGCTGTTGCTACAGCTTTACAGTCATACTTGACAACCTCTGCCATTATTTTTTATTCTTACTGCTGCTGCCAAAGCTTTGCTGTCAGACTTCATTCCCTCTGTTGTTGTGTCTCTTTCATTATTAATGGCTCCCATATAATATTTATAACTATATTAGGTCTACTGAGGAAGGTGTCATGGCCTAGCATATACATGGATTCCTTCAGACGACTAATTATCCAATGTTCTGTGAGGATTTTAGTTCATTCTACAGCAGTTGATGACTCCCTTTTCTCTCCATACATGATCAGCCATGCCAGATGTCATTGTGACACCCTTAATTACAGCGTTTTGATATTCCTCCAGGTATACTTTTAGGGGTTGACAGATTTCGCTTTTGCATCCTTTGCCATGGCCAAATGAGAACAAATAGATTAAATAAAGAATCCAGTACAAAATTCCCTGAAAGTTACCTGGACTGACAGACACCTGTTGAAGGCACAATGGTCGAAACATGATAACAACAACAGAGATGAGAACATTAGACGGACTGTAAATAAGGTAAATTCATTTTTGGTTATATTTGCTTTCATCATGGTTGGAATTAAGAGCAAAAGTAAAAATTAAATAGGAAATGAAGTGAAAAGGGGAAGTAAGTAGTGGTCACTGGAAGTAATGCCTACAATTAGTAAAATAGAAGCAGGTAAAAGCTTTAATAGAAAAAAATATATGCAGGGATAAAAAGAGAAGAAAGTCAAAAATTAAAATGTAGTTCCAAATAAAAATAATTCAGTATTTCCTTGTGTGAATGAATAAAGTTGTAAAATAAATCGATCAGATAAAACCATTTTTTTTTTTTGAACAGAGAGAAAAAAAACCTTAACAACAAAATAATTCTCACATTTAAAACAAAATTGGCAATAATACATTTAAAAAATATGTCTTTAAACCAACCTTCAAACAGCTTAAACTGGAGTATGAAAAAAAACAAAAAAAAAAATAATGAAAAAGTCAAAATAAACCACTTAAATGTTTTGAACCCTAAATGTAGAAAGTCACATAGACATAACATATGAATTGTTTGCAAACATCAGTGTTTCATAGAAATATGTTCAAAGCACACAATTACAAGTGAACAAACAGAAAATATAAAAATGCAATTTAAAAATGAATTTGTTGGATTTCAGATCTTGAAAAGAAATTTTTTTTAAATTGAAAAAGATAAAAAAAAAAAAATAAATTAAAATTGTAACCAAATAATTTCTTATTTATAAAAGAAACTTGAAATAATTGCATTTTCAACTTAAACTGGCATCAGATTTTCTCTTTAATGAAATAATGGTAATAATAAAGAAATTCATCAAGAAACGACTTTTCTATTTTTTATCCCCATTTTCTTATACGCTACATTCCTGCCTTCTTTCTCTTTACTAGTAGATAGCTTCATCTATCATCTGGTTTACACTCCTCCGTGACCTTTTGAACAGGAGTAGAGGTTTGTCTTTTGTTTCTTGTTTAGGATTGGGTTTCTGGGTCCTTCTAAATTCCACTTCAACTCTAGACTTCTAATCTCTCCTAAAACTGAAATTTTTACTATTTATTTATTTATTTTTCTCCCCAATAGGAGTAGAGGTCTATCCCATGTTCCCTGTTTAGGAATATTTCCAACTCCTTTTAAAGATTACTTCAACTCTATACTTCTAATGTCTCCACTTGAACTCTGAAATTTTATTGTTTTTTCTCCTCTTTTTTTTTCTTTCTTCCTAGATAGGGTCATCTATCATCTGGTTCACACTACTCCCCAGGCTTTGAACAGGAGTAGAGGTTTATCCCTGTTTAGGATTAGGTTTCTTGTTCTTTCTAAAGTCTTTTCATTCTCTTCTACTCCCAGTAGCTTCTTGCATCTTAGTGGCATTATTGCCTTGCTTGGAATAAATTGATAAAAAAAAATAAAATAAATAAAAACTTAATATAAAAATATAGATTTCTGTAAAGTTATTTCTAAATGTTTCAATAATTTTACATTTGCAGTAGTTTATATATATATACACACAAGTATAGAACTGGTGTAAGATGCCAGAAGTGTTGAAACAAAATGACTATTTTTGTAGTGATTTTATAACATTTATGTTATAATTTTTGAATAAATTTTATCTATCTATCTATATTAAATATATATATATGAAGAAATATAGTTTTAAGGTGTGGTATATTTATGGGATAAAGTGCTTAGTATCAGAGAGAGAGAGAGCATATGTAAATATAAAAGTGAACACTGAAGTTAAA